AGCCCCTTTGGCTTTTACCAAAATCATGCAGGCAGCTATAGCTCACCTACATTCCCTGTCTATTCAGATTCATTCCTACCTGGACGATTCCCTTCTCAAGGAATTTTGCCCAATCAAATTGAGGGTTCAGACAGATTTGGTCATCAATTGTTTTCTGTCCCTAGGCTTCCTAATCTCTTGGAAAAAGTCAGAGATAATTCCTTCTCAAGACTTTGTTTTCCTGGGAGAACATTTCCTAACCAATGTAGGCCTAGTCCTCCCACCAGAGGAAAAATTTACAAAACTATGTCAGAAAATACATTTATTCCTGACGGTTCAATCAGTCACAGCACGTCAATTCTTGCAACTTCTGAGTCTATTGAACTCTCTGGCAGATGTAATTCCATTGGGATGACTTCACATTCGTCCGCTTCAGTTTTATCTGCACAAGTTATGGATTCCAGCTTCACAAGAATGGGAAGCATTGATTCCAATCACTCAGCCTTTATTTCCACACCTTCAATGGTGGTTAGTACGGGAAAATGTAATGAGGGGCCTATGTCTGTCCCCTCAAGTTCCCAGTCTAACATTATTCACAGATGCCTCCACCCTCGGTTGGGGAGCATATCTGGAGGGGCTTACAATCTCGGGAGTCTGGAATCCAGATCTTTTGGAAGAGCATATCAATGTATTGGAAATGAAAGCAGTTCTGTTTGCACTGAATCATTTCCAAATGTCTCTAAAGAATCAGTCTGTCATTCTGGCCACGGACAACACAACAGTTGTAGCTTATCTCAAGAATCAGGGAGGAACTCATTCACCTTCTCTTTATCAGATAGCCAGAGACATTCTCCTTCTGTGTTTTCAACTCCATTTTCATCTAGTGGTGAGACATATTGCGGGGCACCTCAATATTCTAGCCGACACTCTATCCAGATCCCTTGCTCCAGTAAACACGGAGTGGGAACTACTTCAAGTAGTTTTCAAAGCTGTGACTCTTCATTGGGGTCACCTCAGATAGATCTGTTTGCGACCAGTCTCAATCACAAACTTCTAACATTTGTGTCTCCGGTTCCAGATCCAAAATCTTTTGCGGTAGACGCAATGAGCCTATCTTGGAAAGGAATGTTCGGGTACGCCTTCCCTCCTTTCAGGTTTCTCTCCCCAGTACTTCAGAAAATAGCAGGGGAAAATTGCAAGATCATAGTTATTGCTCCAGCATGGCCGAAACAGTCTTGGTTTCCAGACCTTCTGCGCCTATCATGTGCTTGTCCTCTAGTTCTACCTCTGAGACCAGACCTTCTGTCTCAAATCAAGGGCAAGGTTCTTTATCAAAATCCGGAAAAACTTCATCTACACGCCTGGCTTCTCTCAGGGTTAGCCTCAGAAAGAGAGGTTTTTCTGAAGGAGCAACCAAGCATCTCACAAAGTCTGTCAGAGACTCCACTAGCATTGTCTATGATGCAAAATGGTCACTCTTCTCAGATTGGTGTAGTGAGCGGGAAATTGATCCTTTCCAAGTCACTGTACAACAATTAGCAGACTTTCTAGTTTTTCTTTTTGAATCCAAAGGATTATGTCCCTCTACTATTAAGGGATATAGATCAGCTATTTCAAGAACTATTCATATTTCTGGTGGCCCAGATTTTGGAAACAATGAGCATATTTCTCTTTTGGTTCGTAGTTTTAGTCTTGAAAGACCAAGACAAAAAACTTTAGTTCCTAAGTGGGACCTTGGACTAGTTTTATCCTTTTTAAAACTTCCTCCTTTTGAACCAGCAGAAACAATAGATTTAAGGTTTCTTTCCTATAAATGCTGTTTTCTTTTAGCTTTGGCTTCTGGACGGAGAAGGAGTGAAATCCATGCCTTCTCTATTTCTGATGCTTGCCTTCGATTTAACAGGGATAAATCTTCTGTTACTCTTTTAACGGATCCTGCTTTTTTGGCAAAGAATCAGATTCCAGATAAGGGTGCAGAACGAGTCGTGATTCCTGCACTCCCTAGCGATTCTATTTCTGTACTTTTATGTCCAGTAAGAATCCTTTCTATTTATCTGGATAGAACGAGTAGTTTACGTTCTGTTTCTAACTCAAGACTCTTTATTCCTATTAAAAAAGGAATCTCAGATCTTTCTGTTAAAACTATTTCTACTTGGATATGCAAATGCATATCTTTAGCTTATGGTTCTTCTAAGGCAGAACTTTTAAATAGTTTTAATGTTAAAGCTCATGATGTTAGGGGTATCTCTACATCCTGGGCTCTGTTTAACAGTGCATCTTTAGAAGAGGTACTGTCTGCAGGTTTCTGGAGAAATGAGAACTCTTTTATATCTCATTACCTCCAATCTATGGCTACTTTTGCCGAGAGTTTATACTCTCTTGGACCTATAGTTTCAGCACAAAGATTGAACTTTCCTCCTGTTTCTTCTGTTACAGGGGATTCAGCTTTACGTTAGATTCTGTTACTCAGAATTTATGATGGTAACGTATTTATAGCTATAAAATATTCAAATTTTAAAGTAAATTTGGATTTTATTAGATAAATACTTACCATCATAAATTATAGGTCCCACCCACCTCCCCTTCATCCCCTTTCCTTACGTTTCTGTCTTGAGGAAATTGAATGGGAGAATATGGGCAAACAGGGGTATATGTCCGGACCAGTGAGAGTACGTTTATTTTTAGTCGGGATTTTCCATCTGACCTATGACGCAATTGGGGTTACACTCAGAATTTATGATGGTAAGTATTTATCTAATAAAATCCAAATTTACTTTAAAATTTGAATAGTTTATGTGACAGTTGTAATAAAGCTTTATATTTAGGACTATCAACATAATATCAATGATTAGTAAAGAAGGCGAGACATTTCAGCGTGTGCACTCTTGTGGTGTCAATTTATATACATTTCCAAAAAATACAATGCAATTCATGCATGGGAGTAGATAAATATGAAAGTTTATATAGCATTCTCATCATAACATTTAATGGCAAGTACAACTTTGAAATAAATTTTTTGTATGTATCTGGTACTGAGGATTCAAAATTTCATTATTCGTGGGATATCAATTTTTGTGGATTTAGTTTGTTTAGGTTAACCATGAATTTAAATATTAAACGAAGTACAATTTTTTATAGACTTGTATGCAAACTTTGGCAAAATCATGAATTTGTGTACTGTTGTTTGTCTGTTTGTCTTCTCCTTTTTTAGCAATGGCTTTGTCAGTTTATTTTCAACTTATGAGTTTGAATGTTCCTTCGGTATCTTTTGCCTATCTTTTGATATCCATGAAAAAACAATATTTTCTCAATCCACGAAAATTGGTACCCACAAAAATAGAAAGAATCTACAGTATTTATCTTACAATATACATGTAATGAATATGTTTTAAATCAAGAGATTGATCTAAAAAAAAAAGTTGAGGTAAAATAAGATAGTTTGGATGTTTGCTTTGATCTTTTAATTCTGCAATTTCTAACCTGCAAGCTGTTTGATCTTGTTGAATAATTGTTTTGGAAATACATGTACATAAGATATAATAGATAGTACTTGATAAGATAAATATTATAAATATGGTAGAGAAATGTAGAAAATTGTCTATTTATTCTTGCAAATGCCCTGTTTGGTAAAAAAAAAAACCTTGTCGACTGGATATGAGTAATATGTCAAAATATCATTGAAGTTTTATCAAATAAAGCATACATAAGAAACACAATTATTAAGTTAAACAGATGCAGGCCTGGATGATTTAAATGTTGTTGAACTAGGTTATTTTCTTATACAGTATATAACCTTCCTTATAAAATTGGTTACAGTAACCTACTTTTTCATTTGAGTGACTTTGACCAAGTTTTGTATTCAAGTCCAAATCTCTTATGTCCTTTATGATATTAATGATTTTTCTATCCTTCAAATCCTTTACGTAAACAATCAATTCATTAATGTTTTGGTCACAGTGACCTACTTCAAACCTTGGATGAGTTTAAGTTAAGTTTTGCCTTTAGAATTGAAATAATAAACAGTTTAACAACATGCGTGTTACCATAACCTTACAATTATTAATGTTCTTTAAAGAATTTTTTTTTTTTTTGCCTTCACGTTTTCACTATTTTCCCCTTTTTATTTTCATAAAAGCGTTCATATTCTAGACATATTGTTATAAGAATGAGATGTTATCATAACATTCTTATTATAAAATATAATGCAAATTTTAAAACTTGGTCATAGTTACCTACATTTTACATTTGTCTCGTTTCAAGGACCTATATAAGAACTTCACACTTATTGATAACTTTAAATATTTTGAAAATCTTTATTCATCTTTCTGACAAGGTTCGAGCGTGGTCAGTTTAATTTTTGGGAAAAAGTTATTAATCTTCATTTAAAATGTTCAAAATTAAGCAAAATGACTAGATATTGTTTAACAACTTCACAGAAAAACTAAGACTTTCATGATGAACATTTTTATGCATGAGAAAAAGCATAAGCCTGTTAAACGTAGTTTATAGTTCAAAAGTTCAGAATATCAAATTAAGATGATAAGGGAAACTGTTATGTATGATAGTGCTTATGTTCTACTTTTGCCTGTTAACTTTATGAGAATAATATGGTGGCAGGTTGTGGCCAGTTTGTATATTTGTCTTCGATATTTTATGCAAAATGTTAAAATCTAAAAAACATAAAAACCCCAAATCTTCGTGGTGTAATGGATTAAAGCTGCCATTTCATGTTTTGTCATTTTTGCCTTCAAGTTTTCACTTTATGAATATCGGAGACAAAAAAACATACAATGACCACATCAGGCCACCATAAAATGGAGTATTGCTAAAATCATTCTCTTGCAGGCATATGTGTACTTAAAATATTACATATAGTTCGTTTTTGTCATACATTTGTCACAGTTTATACATCATTTTGGTACTGGTATCATGTCATTTTATACATTTATATATAAAGCTTCAGCATGCTATGGAATTGTGGTAATTTTTGCATGATATTTGCATGTGCTCGTGCTTTGTAGGTGATGTTACCAGATGACGATGAAAATAGTATCTATGGGGATGGAATATATCACAGTCCAAATCAGTTGGTATCCAAGGTAACATAGATTTGACCATGAAGCAGATATTTTACTAATTTTCCTTTCATTACTAGTTATGCTCATACTTGTTGAAGAGACGTGTGTGTAGTGATTGTTTTGTAAATTGGTAATAGTGGAAAAATAAATGTTGAATCTCGAATTTTCGAAAAAATAAAGCATTCCCTCACGGATCCCGAAAAAAATTAATCATTAATTCTAAACTCAAGATAAGTGTAAATCCTGAATTCGTGAAAAAATTAAGGCTGAATCCCACCATCCCGAAAAATATCCTTCCACCCCTCTATAAATTCTATTGGCAACTCAACTTAACAGTGACATCATTTCATTGAAATTTTCTGAGAATCTTTAATAATGGCATTGTGCACCTCTTATTTTTAGCTCACCTGGCCTGAAGGGCCAAGTGAGCTTTTCTCATCACTTGGTGTCCGTCGTCCGTCGTCGTCATTAGCTTTTTACAAAAATCTTCTCCTCTGAAACCACTGGGCCAAATTTAACCAAACTTGGCTACAATCATCATTAGGGTATCTAGTTTAAAAAATGTGTCCGATGACCCCGCTTACCAACCAAGATGGCCGCTATGGCTAAAAATAGAACATAGGGGTAAAATGTAGATTTTGGCTTATATCTCTGAAACCAAAGCATTTAGAGTAAATCTGACATAGGGTTAAACTGATTATCAGGTCAAGATCTATCTGCCCTGAAATTATCAGACAAATCTGACAACCTGTTGTTGGGTTGCTGCCCCTGAATTGGTAATTTTAAGGAAATTTTGCAGTTTTTGGTTATTATCTTGAATATTATTATAGATAGAGATAAACTGTAAACAGCAATTATGTTCAGCAAAGTAAGATCTTCCAATAAGTTGTCATGGACCAAAATTGTCAGTCGACCCCTTTAGGAGTTATTGCCCTTAATAGTCAATTTTTTTTTAACAATTTTTTGTAAATTTTTGTAGTCTTTTACAAAAATCTTCTTCTCTGAAACTACTGAGACAAATTTAACCATACTTGGCCATAATCATTATAAGGGTATCTAGTTTAAAACATTTGCCCGATGACCCCGCCTTCCAACCATCATGGCCGACTTGGTTAAAAATAGAACATAGGGGTTACTTTAGTATCTCTGAAACTAAAGCATTTAGAGCAAATCTGACAGGTGGCAAAAATGTTCATCAGATTTAGATTTATCTGCCCATAAATTTTCAGACGAATCCGACAACCCGTTAGTAATTAAGTCTCCCAAACGAAGTTTGGGAAGACTTATTGTTTTTGCTCAGTTCTTATTATTATTATTATTCTTCTTCTTCTTCTTCTTCTTCTTCTTCTTCTTCTTCTTCTTCTTCTTCTTCTTCTTCTTCTTCTTCTTCTTCTTCTTCCGCCGCTTTTAAATTTGAACTTGTCCGCACCTGTTCTCCAAAACCGCTTGTCAGATTAACTTAGGGTTTCACAATATGTTAGACTAACATGTCTAGTGGTGCAATCAGGGTTTTGTTTGTGCAATGGGGTTTATAAAGGGGTACTTTGAGGGGCAAAAAGAAAAGAGGGTTTTACTATAGAACCCTATGGGATTTTATTTTTTTTAATTTTCAAATGATTATAAATTGAAAACCGTTTGTGATAGACACAATCTTTTTAATTGAAAATGTTCTAAATGATAAAGCCCATTAAATGAAATACAGGGTTAGTCCCCAGGGGTCACCCCCACCCCTTGCCATTTAAGAAAGTTCTAATACCTTGTAAGTGGTCAAGATCCCCACCCCTAAACCATATATATTTTGGTTTGTTATGCTAAGATGGTTTGAATGATATACAGGGTTAGTCCCCAGGGGTCACCCCGACCCCCTGCCATTTGAGAAAGTTCTAATATCTTGTAAATGGTCGAGATCCCCACCCCTAAACCATATATATTCTGGTTTGTCATGACAAAGCACATCAAATGAAATACAGGGTTAGTCCCCAGGGGTCACCCCCACCCCCTGCCATTTAAGAAAGTTCTAATATCTTCTAAGTGGTCAAGATCCCCACCCCTAAACCATATATATTCTGGTTTGTCATGCTAAGATGGTTTGAATGATATACAGGGTTAGTCCCCAGGGGTTATCCCGACCCCCTGCCATTTGAGAAAGTTCTAATATCTTGTAAATGGTCGAGATCCCCACCCCTAAACCATATATATTCTGGTTTGTCATGATAAAGCACATCATATGAAATACAGGGTTAGTCCCCAGGGGTCACCCCCATCCCCTGCCATTAAAAAAGTTCTAATATCTTGTAAGTGGTCAAGATCCCCACCCCTAAACCATATATATTCTGGTTTGTCATGCTAAGATGGTTTGAATGATATACAGGGTTAGTCCCCAGGGGTTATCCCGACCCCCTGCCATTTGAGAAAGTTCTAATATCTTGTAAATGGTCGAGATCCCCACCCCTAAACCATATATATTCTGGTTTGTCATGATAAAGCACATCATATGAAATACAGGGTTAGTCCCCAGGGGTCACCCCCATCCCCTGCCATTAAAAAAGTTCTAATATCTTGTAAGTGGTCAAGATCCCCACCCCTAAACCATATATATTCTGGTTTGTCATGCTAAGATGGTTTGAATGATATACAGGGTTAGTCCCCAGGGGTCATCCCGACCCCCTGACATTTGAGAAAGTTCTAATATCTTGTAAATGGTTGAGACCCCACCCCTAAACCATATATATTCTGGTTTGTCATGATAAAGCACATCATATGAAATACAGGGTTAGTCCCTAGGGGTCACCCCCACCCCCTGCTATTTAAGAAAGTTCTAATATCTTGTAAGTGGTCAAGATCCCCACCCCTAAACCATATATATTCTGGTTTGTCATGCTAAGATGGTTTGAATGATATACAGGGTAAGTCCCCAGGGGTCATCCCGACCCCCTGCCATTTGAGAAAGTTCTAATATCTTGTAAATGGTCGAGATCCCCACCCCTAAACCATATATATTCTGGTTTGTCATGATAAAGCACTTCAAATGAAATACAGGGTTAGTCCCCAGAGGTCACCCCCACCCCCTGCCATTTAAGAAAGTTCTAATATCTAAGTGGTCAAGATCCCCACCCCTAAACCATATATATTCTGGTTTGTCATGCTAAGATGGTTTGAATGATATACAGGGTTAGTCCCCAGGGGTCATCCCGACCCCCTGACATTTGAGAAAGTTCTAATATCTTGTAAATGGTCAAGATCCCCACCCCTAAACCATATATATTCTGGTTTGTCATGATAAAGCACATCAAATGAAATACAGGGTTAGTCCCCAGGGGTCACCCCCACCCCCTGCCATTTGAGAAAGTTCTAATATCTTGTAAATGGTTGAGATCCCCACCCCTAAACCATATATATTCCTATTTGTCATGTTTCAAACATTTGAATGACGTATACGGTCAGTCCCCAGGGGTCCCCCCACCCCCAATGTTCTAATATCTTGTAAATGGTTGAGATCCCCACCCCTAAACCATATATATTCCTGTTCGTCATGTAATGAACATTTGAATGACATATAGGGCCAGTCCCCAGGGGTTCCTCCCCACCCCCAATGTTCTAGTATCTTGTAAATGGTCGAGATCCCCACCCCTAAACCATATATATTCTGGTTTGTCATGCCAAGATGATTTGAATGATATACAAGGTTAGTCCCCAGGCATCACTAATGCATAAAACTTTACTGGACCAAACCAATTTTCACTGGAAGTTGCCCAATGTCAGGCGACCCTGGGAATTACGAATTATGGGAGCTTCGTTTGGGAGACTTCGTAACAGCATCCTGTTACATTCATTTCTTGTTTTACAAAAATTTTGCAGTTTTTTGTTATTATCTTAGATATCATTATAATATCTAATATCTAATACTATTAATTATGATTTTAACCTTATTTTACATGATTTCCAAAGCATCAGTAAATACAGGTGAGCAACACAGGCTCTTGAGAGCCTCTAGTTTTTTGTCCAGATGATTTTTCTCTTAGCAAAACATTGACTGCCATATAAAAAAGTTAAAACAGGGTAGTAATCTTGTACCAGTAGCAATGGCTCTTAAACTTTTATTTCAATGACACTTACACAGAATCTGTCTTCCATTAAGTACTTCTATTATATTTCTTGGTGTTACTGATTATTGGGGTTTCCCACAGCAATATATGAACTTTGCCATATCCAATCAAATTCAAATTTTAAGCCCCATGCACTGATTATCGTTTCCTAAAAAAAATTTAATGAGTTTAATAAAAATTTTGCAACCGATTCTTTGAAATATTTACTTATTAAATATATCCTGTACTATATTATCAAGATTTGCAGACAAGGTTCAAATGCAAGTAAAGTCTTCAGCTTGAAACAATTGAGCATATTGGATATTTGAAATGGAAATTTGTAAGAAAAATGTTTCTGGTCTTGCACATTACAGAACTGCACATTTTATTGCTAGCTACAATTACATATATATATCTATATATATTAATTAAAGTAAAAATCATATTTATGTTTTTCATATGTTGTGTAAATAAGCTTGATGTTCTTTATAATAAAATTTAACTTTATGAAAAAGTTTCAGTAAAATATATTATTATTGAATGCATTTCATGATTTGAATTCAAATATTAATTGTCAACTATATCTGAACATGTTAGCCTTGAAAATGTGACTACATTATTGATGTTAATATTTAATAAGTTTTATGCATAATATATTGATCTCTGCATTTATGATATGATTTTCTTTTATTCAAAAAGTAAGACACAAATGGTTTAAATTCAAGTGACATTATTTTGTTTAAAAACTGCTAGAATTTATTTGCAATTGTGAAAAAATTATGCTCTATAAATTTGTACAAACATTGAACAAAAAATATTGTAAAATTAGTGTACTTTGTAAATTCAAAGTTCTCTCATTTGATTTAGCTTAAAGTAAAAGCAATAGCAGACTACCAAGCTAACAGAGCAGATGAACTCTCTTTCAACAAAGGATCCATTATAACCAATGTCAACAAGGCTGATGGAGGATGGTAATGTGTATATATATATTTTTTTATAATACTAATTGTAACCCAGCTCAAAAGGGAGGGGATTTTAATGGTTTACCTGTTTCCATTTTTGTAAGTCTCATGAAAGGAGTAAGTTTGGTAAGGGCCATATTTGGCCCCGATTATAATGTGCAATGTTTCAAGATAAAAAATGTTTTAAGTTGACTTAAAGACATGTGAGAAAGTTATATAGAACTATTTGTGTCAAAGTTTTCTTCTAAAGCGTATATTTTTACATCCCAAATAGGTCAAGATAAGAGATTTTGTCGAAATTTGACAAAATCGGCCCGATTTCAACCAAATTTAGGACCAGAAAACATAGAGTGCAGTCGTCGACAAACTAAATATTCAAGTTAGACATGTAAAATGTCTTTACAAACATTATATTAAAAGATCTTTTTTGTCGACGTATGCGTTCTATGTTTCCTGTTCAAAAATCAATGGAAATTTACCCATTTTCATTGATTTTTTTCGTGGAAAATCAAAATGAGTACTATTTGTGACGTCATGAATAAAAGCAGGAACGTAAATTTTCAACAAAAAGGCTCATTTCTTATTTAGTCCGTGTATTAGCTATGATACATTGTGATATTGGTTAATAAATACTAATTTGAAATTTAAGCTAAAAAAGGGGGCCATTTTTGGGCTGATCGAACCTACTCCTTTCCGTAGCATTTTTCTCAGGAAAAACAATTCTAAGCTTTAACAAGCTTCATAGTGACTGAGCATGCTCATTGACTTACTGTTTAAAGAAGAACACTTGAAGCAGGAGTATAATTAACAAGCAATATATCTCAGTTCATCTTAGTTTTTTCTAGGTCTTAGCAGATTAATTCTTTTTATAAAACGTTGTTTATATTTTGAAAATCAAATGTGATTTTTTTGCCCTACCGACGAAGTCGAAGGGGACTTAAGGTTTGCACTCTGTCCGTCTGTCCGTCCGTCTGTCCATCCGTCAGTCCAGCAAATCAGCTTTCCACACTTTTTTTCTTCGTTCTTGGAAGATATTGATTTGATATTTGTTATATAGTTTTGCCATGACAAGTTATAGATCAAGTTCGAATTTTGTTCCGGTCTAATGATTTAGTCCAGAGTTATGGACCATAACTCTGGACCATATCTTATGTTAGAGTACTATGTTAAACCATATTTCTGTACAAAGGGAGATAACTCATTTTTATAAAAGACATTCTTTGGTAAAATATTTGAAGAATTTTTGGCAGGTTTGTTTGTTATTTTGTATAAACTAATTTTCTGAATGCTATATATATATAAAAAAAAATTATGAAGTGAAGTCCTTTAATTAGATAATAATCTATTTTTATTAATGTATATATTACATTACATTGTGTAGATAAAAATTGTTGACATTTTATAGATAAGTTACAAATCTATATTAGTTTATGACAAATAAAAGAAAAATATTTGGAACAATTAATTATATTTGATTATAATTTGAAAATAGATATACACTGTATTACATCATATCTAGTTTTAGATAACTATTAATCATATCTAATGTTAAAGTGCTTTCCACACTTTTTTTCATCATGCTTGAAGTTATTGATTGATAATTAGTATATAGTTTTATCATGACAAGTTATACAGATCAAGTTCGAAATTTTGTTTCGGTCTGATAATTTTGTGCAGAGTTATGGCCCTTGGACTTGAAAAATTCATTCATTTAATCAGTTTTCCACACTGTTTTTAGTCATGCTTGAAGATAATTACTTGATATTTTCTTTTTGTTTACACCATGACAAGTTATAGAACAAGTTAGCTTTTTGTTCCAGTATAATGAATTTTTACCCGGTAGGGGACTATGTATTGTTTGAAAATCAAAATGTGATTTCTTCATGTCATAATTTATTGACATCAGTGTTCAAGAAAAAAATGGTAATCATCTTTAGCCTGTACATATATCTCTCAGGACTGACCTTTTGCTCTGATTAAAAGCATTAAGAGCAGAATTATTTCTTAGCAAAAGACAACATTCTTAAGAGTACAACGTACTAAAAATGTAATTTCTCAATATCTTTTAAGGTGGCGTGGTGATTTTAATGATAAAAGGCAGAACTGGTTCCCTGAACATTTAGTTGAGGAGCTGGACCTCCCAGAGGAATCAGAAGATACTTCACCATTAGGAGCTATGCAGAAGGGCTTTATAGACATACAGGGATGCAGAGTTGGTAAGTTTCCTCAGCATTTTACTAAGGAAAAAAAAGCACTGTTGTATAAAAGAAAATATGAATTTTGTAACAGGTGTAGTGAGTTAAAGTAAGACACAACTAGTGTTACTAAGCATTTTAACAATTTAAAATTTAACTATCGAGAGTTGATAAGTATTGTTACAATACAGTCAAGAGGTAGAATCTATTTCTCTATAAATGATAAAAAGAAAAATGCCAAGAGCAATATTCCGTAAAGGTATGCGAGGAAATTACACATGACAAATGCCAAAAGCAATATTCTGTAAAATTATGCCAGGAAATTACATTACACATGACAAATTCAATCAACATGTAGTGTATCTAAATTGACGAAACTGGTCAGGACAGGTTTTGATGCAATCAGAATTGGAGAAATTGTATGACTCAACTTGGAAATAGTAACGTCATCAGGCATGGTCACCTTTTTTCATGACTTCACAATAGGAACCTCAGAAGAAATCAAGAAAATTTGACGTCATAATTGAATTTCAACCAATCTTTTGCCGTGAATAAAGTTTTCTCTAGAGATGAGAAATATTTTTCTCATACTGATCCAAGAAATGTGAAAATAGTATGAAAATTAGAAAATAGTAATAGTCCATAGGGAATTTAAAAAGAAATCAGAATGCAATTCTATATTAAGATAAATACTATTCAGTGAAGTAAACTCACTTTTTCAGAAACAAGTGGAAGGGCTGACAAACCATTTACATTTATGATCTATACACGTACAAGTCCTCAGCCACTAGAGGTCGCTGCTGATAATGAAAGTGATATGAGGGAATGGATGGGTATGATATCTAATTGTACACAGCAAACACAGCAAACAGTAAGATAGACATCAGTTTAGATTTTTTTCTGATTTACTTTTGGAGTTAAATGAATGGTAATATTTGGTATGCAGATTTTGTCTTAAATTTTTTTGCCCCTGCCGTTGCGGAGGGGGCATTAAGTTTTACCCTTGTCCATCCGTACGCACCAGTCAAAGTTGGTTTCAGTTCTCTAACTTAAGTTTGCCTCAACCAAATTTCATGAAACTTATACACATTGCTTATTACCACAAAACACAGATCAAGTTTGAATTTTGGGGGCGTCACTTTAACCGTTCTAGAGTTATGCCCTTAACAAATGGAAAAATTGCTGAATTTTTCATTTCCGTTCTCTAACTTAAGTTTACCTCAACCAAATGTTATGAAACTTAAACATAATACTAATTATCACAAAACTCAGATCATGTACAAAGTTGGGTAGTGTCACTTTTACTGTTCTTCAGTTATGTTCCTTTATAACTTTATATGATATGCAAGCGGGGCATCATCTGTGTCCCATGGACACATTCCCCATTTATTTAACTTAAGGTTTCATACAGCAAATGTAATAAGTGTTTTATGTAACACAATTATATACCTAAAGCTAGTACTGTGGGTTCACTATTATTCGTTGGGTATTTATTTTCATGGATTTCGTGGATAAAATACACCAAGAATTCAAATGTTCAAAAAGTACAAATTTTCAATAGTCTTGTATGAAGACTTTGACAGAAATACGAAATCAAATCTCCACAAAAATGTATTTGTTCCTCATTGAATCCACAAAGATTTCTATCCATGAAAATAAATGAATTCACAGTATATGATGGAAAGCATATATGGGCTCATGGTACCTTTTTAATGAACTAATACTTTTCCATTTACGATTATTGCGAACCAAATGAAACTTTTCTCCTATTGTTCAATCTATTTAAACTTTTGTCAGTTCTATTGTCCCATTCCAAAAAATATGAAAAATGAGGATAAATGTTTTAAGTTAATTTGATGCTGAAGTTGATGAAAAGGAGGCAATTGACCCCACACAACAAAGGGTTTTCCTACCCTCTTTTAACACATGACAGGTTTTTGATGTACTCAATTATTATCTAAAATTTCACAGACTTCTAATAAGGTGAGTATTGTTCCCAAGTCACCAAAAGCTTTAAACCAAAACACTACCACCCAACAGACACATGCCAGATTGTTTTCAATTACAGTTGGCAATATCAGTAAGCATAACATTAAACCACAATGTATCATTATTCAATTACTTTAGATAAATTTGAAATGTACAAGTACTGCATTTGTACTCTTATCGTGTATACTTATTTTCACGAATTAGGTATTAGGTATTGCTGATGAATTCACAAGTATTAAATTTTCCTGTACTTCAACACATGAAAACCTGTTGTAAATGTCTTATTTGTATGAAATCAATTTGAATTTATTTTCTTTATGACATGAATCAGATTGGTATAACAGTGTATATATACAATCATCACAACAATCATGTACATGTGAGAGAAGGATAATCCCATTCTTTATGATTAGGTATGAGCGTAAGCGAGTAATTATCATGAAGAATTTAGGAAATATGTATGTTTTAGAATGTTTGCAAGTTCTTATCATGAGAAATGGATTGTCATTCTCTTATAAAATTAGAATAGTAAAGTAAAGTGTTCAAGGCTCAAATAAACCTCTTGATTGGTTTAAATCAAGATTTGATTTCATGGTCAGTGCAATATATAGTTTATGCATGGTTTTCTTTTTAGGCATACCAGTTATGGACAATTTGTAGTAATGTAAGGAACTTTGTATATTTTGGGAAATTTTAAATAAATTATGTTTTTGACTTTAGATGAAATAACAGTTGGTGAAATTGTAGGAATTGTATAAGTTTCCTAATTGATCATGTGAATGTAAATCATATATTCCTTTAAGTGAGGAATGATTTTCTTGTTTGTTTACAGTCTGAAATCAATAAATTTTGAAAGGCGAAAGTATGAAAAGACCACATTTTTGGCCCCTTGAATTCGATGTGTGAACTTTTTGCACTTAAGTGTCCAGATTACAATACCTTGTTAATTTATCAATTAAATTAACATAATTTTGAAAGTCCTGCATTTGTTTTTCTATCAGAACTCCTCTTTTGTGTTACAACTTTATTTTATTCCTCATCCAATGCCCCTCTTTACATCGAATAGTACTTCATAATGTTGGATATTAAATTAAATTATAACCTTCATTTTCAAATAAAAAAATTTAAAATTCATCTTTCGCGATGAAAATCCTGTATTCTGATAAATATGCTTCAGGCAATTGTAACTCATTTATAGAACTTCTTTGTTTTGATCCATTACTAAGAACAAGTTTTACACTAATTCTTCATAATTAAAAAAACCTTGATGAGTATTTTGCACTTTCATCCTTAAATGGTTCTTTGTCTCGATCACTGGTGTTGTTTTAATGGTTTGACATTTTGATTAAAGTTTTATCAGGTTAAGGTACATGTACAGTTTTATATATAATGCAAGATGATTTAAATTTTAGGGTTTTTATATGCACATAAACTTCATTTGTATTTGCGAAATATACCTAATGCGAAATATGTGAAAATAAATACACAGAGATAAGATATACATATACAGTAATTTGACTAATTTTGTTAAAAATAGCTATTGATCAAAATCTTTAAGATCATTAGAATAAAACAAAGAATACATAAGATACAGTGACGTGAACCCCATTAAAAATAAATCTAAGTATTCCACAGTGGTTAAGAGTTCTTGCTTAATAGGCCCTTTCATGGTTATTGCATCCATATTGAATATGGAGCAGATTTTTAGGATATATAGAGGTGGAAATAGTAAGAAAGTATGAGAAATTCTTTGCATGTTTCCAAGCAACTGTTCTGTTTCAATGATGTTTTCCCGCATTTTTCAAAGCATTTTCACCTCCATTCATTGGCTTATAATTAGAGAAATAAGAAATATAAAACTTTGAAACAATTTCAGATAAAATTCATTTGCCATTACATGCATAATAGTATAGTTTCAATAGAGACTTTTTTCATGATTTAAAATAAAATATATATACATGTATATAGGTTGGAATGAAATCTAAATCAACAGTTTTTTTTTTACAATTTCTTTTTCAATGAACAAAAGAAATGCCTTAATTTATGGTTTTAGCTTTGCACATTTTCAAATATCCCTCAATATATATTTATGAATATATGTTATCCATTCCATCTGGCTTATTCTTAAGTTATGCATTTGAACATTACCATCCAGACACCTGTGTATTTCTCAATATTTAAAAAAGTTGTTTCTCAAATTCAATTGTGATAATATATTTTGAAATTGTTATTCTTTCTGATATATTTTCCATAAATAATAATGTTAATTTTTAACCATAAAATTGAGAATGGAAATGGGGAATGTGTCAAAGAGACAACAACCCGACCATAGAACAGACAACAGCAGAAGGTCACCAACAGGTCTTCAATGTAGCGAGAAATTCCCGCACCCGGAGGAGCCCTTCAGCTGGCCCCTAAACAAATATATATACTAGTTCAGTGATAATGAACGCCATACTAAACTCCAAATTGTACACAAGAAACTAAAATAAAAAATAATACAAGACTAACAAAGGCTAGAGGCTCCTGACTTGGGACAGGCGCAAAAATGCGACGGGGTTAAACATGTTTATGAGATCTCAACCCTCCCCTATACCTCTAGCCAATGTAGAAAAGTAAACGCATAACAATACGCACATTAAAATTCAGTTCAAGAGAAGTCCGAGTCTGATGTCAGAAGAGGTAACCAAAGAAAATAAACAAAATGACAATAATACATAAATAACAACAGACTACTAGCAGTTAACTGACATGCCAGCTCCAGACTTCAATTAAACTTAACAATAGAATTTACATGAAAATCAAGAGATATCTTTTTCTTGCAAAACATTCTAATTTTTCACAGACATTTTGTTCTTATTTCTAAGTTTGATGCGTTAAACATAGTCTTAAAAACTAAACTCCCTCTGTGGTCTCATGGTAGTTTGATCAGTTTGAGTGTGGTAGGTCAAAGTGTCGTTTCCTGGCTGGGTTAAACCAAAAACCTAAAAAAAATGAGATATGCTGCTTTTAGGCCAATAACATCGCAATAAGAAGTAAAAAGACTATTGTAAATTCAGAAATTATTGCTTGCAGTTATTATCACAATTTTTTAAGAAAGAACAAAAATGCGAGATTAATTATTGCGATGTGAGCAAAAGCTGCATACAGATATATGTATCAGGTATCAGAATGCGAGTTCTTACTATTGCGATACTCCCCAATCACATTATTCGCAATAATAAAAACCTCGCAATAATTTCTGAATTTACAGTAGTTGGCTAGGAGTCAGAATATTGTGCCCAGATAGGGTTACATGTCTTCCTGTGTGTTAGTTACCATGTTTAAACTAGCAAGTTTAAAAAAAATCTGAATCAGCTTGTCAATCTTGAACGCAGTAGGGTTCATATTCATATAACATTAAAATGTTTTCATCCTGAAATGCATGTAATATCTGCCACTCGACATTAAAAATCAAATGATGATCATCATTATAATCGTCCTTATGATTTAGTCGATGAAAGTGATTTGATTGGCTATGACTTATGAATTAATTTGTATTGATGAATGACAAAGTTTGCTTAAACCTAAGGAATACAAATTTTTATTAGAAAATACCTTTGTTGACATTATTTTTTCAATATTTTTCAGAAACAGAAAGATAAACAGTTAGAGAGGAAGAAATGCTTAGCCAGAGATTTGTCTGATCTGATTGTATATGCTGTTGCTGTGCCATTTGATTTAGATAGTAAGACATTTTCAGATAAATTTTTTAATTGATATCTATTCTATGATTTTAATGCATATTTTTATGTCCCACTTAGGGGCATTATGTTTTTCGGTCTGTGCGGCCGTCGTCCGTCCATCAGTTATTCTTGTTATACATTTTTATACGCCCGTCAATTTTTGACGGGATGTATTATGGTATACAAATGTCCGTCCGTCTGTCTGTCCGGCGTAAACATGTCGCACCATTACTTGAGAATGACTTATCCAAATTTCATGAAACTTAACATAGCTGTTTCTTATGATGGTCAAACCATCTGTATACTTTTTGGTGAAAATAAGATTAAAACTTTTTGAGTTACGGGACTTAGTAACTAAAACAGGTGTGTTTTTTTTCACATGTCGCGCCGTATCTCAAAAACAATTTATGATTATTGCTTAAAACTTTACACACTTCTTAGTTATATTAATCTTAAGATCTGTATACTTTTTGGTGATGATTCAAAATTTTATTTTAGAGATATTGAGTATTTTGTTAAAAAAGGGGGATGGGTTTTTCACATGTCACGCCGTATCTCAAAAACAGTTTATGATTATTGCTTAAAACTTTACACACTTCTTAGTTATATTAACCTTAAGATCTGTATACTTTTTGGTGATGATTCAAAATTTTATTTTAGAGATATTGAGTATTTTGTTAAAAAAGGGGGATGGGTTTTTCACATGTCACGCTGAAACTCAAAAACAGTTTACGATTATTGCTTAAAACTTTACACACTTCTTAGTTATATTAACCTTAAGATCTGTATACTTTTTGGTGATGATTCAAAATTTTATTTTTGAGTTATTGAGTATTTTGTAAAAAAAGGGGGAGGGGTTTTTCACATGTCGCGCCGTATCTCAAAAACAATTTATGATTATTGCTTAAAATTTTACACACTTCTTAGTTATATTATTCTAAAGATCTGTATACTTTTTGGTTTAGATTCAAAATTTAATTTTTGAGATATTGATTTTTTTTTTTAAAAGAGGGGTTTTCACATGTCGCGCCGTATCTCAAAAACGATTTATGATAATTGCTTAAAATTTTACACACACTTCTTAGTTATATTAATCTAAAGATCTGTATACTTTTTGGTTTTGATTCAAAATTTTATTTTAGAGATATTGAGTTTTTTGTAAAAAAAAAAGGAGGGTTTTCGCATGTCACGCCGTATGTCAGAAACTATTTATGCTTATTGCATAAAAATTCACACACAAGACGACGGGCATATCATGCGCTCATGGCGCAGCTGTTTATTTAAGTTTTACCCTTGTCTGTCCATATGTCCGTCCATACTTCCAAAAGTTGGTTTCCATTCTCTAACTCTAGTTTGCTTCAACCAAATGTTATGAAACTTATACACAATGCTTATTTCCACCAAATACAGATCAAGTTTCAAATGTGGTGGGTGACGTCACCTTCACGTTTCACGAGTTATGTCTTTATATAAATGGATAAATTGCTGAATTTGTCATTTCGACACTCTAACTTTACTTTGCCTCAACCAAATGTTATGAATCTTATACAGTTCTGTCCCTTTATGAATGGACATTTTTTTTTAATTTTATGTATATATCACATGCAAGGCCATCTATGTCCCATGGACACTTTCTTCTTTTGTTTAACACAGCCAGTGTATGCTCTATTATCATTTTATTAAAATTTTAAAGGGAATGAAATAACAAGTCAAAAATTGTGTTGTTGATTCGGAAATTTTAAACAAATTTATGAAATATAAATGTATTTTTGAATAACTTTCTTCTTCAAATGTATGCTTTAATAAGAAGCATTTCTCTGCTTGAAAGGTTAAAACAGTTTCAGGAACTGCTGATATGAAAATGAAATTACAAATAAGGCACACATGGATTGAAATATTGTTATTTTATTTGGACAAGTTACTGGTATGTTTAGGTCAATCCCCAATTTAAAACAAACAAAACATTTGCCTATATTCATGAGATTTTTGTCCCTTGGGGAAATACTTCTATTATAAGTCAAAATTATGAATGATCCTTGAGTTATCACATGTTTGGGGGAGACTTTATTGTCTTATCAGCTGATTTGATTTAAGTTTAATATAATCAATATTACACTTATTGAAAAGGACTTGGTTTATTTATTTTGTAAATGAATGTTTTTTGATTGTACATTGTTAACAGAATTTTGATGTCATTTCATTTTAGGAGCCATTAAAGGACCAATCAACTGCTGTGAAATGTCTTCCTTCTCAGAAATAAAAGTTGAAAAATATTTAACAAGACACCAGGCTTCAAGCTTTGTAAAATATCCTTTGTCAGTATTTAAAATCTTAAAAGTGATAATATGATCATGTGTATTGTATAACAGTGTGTAAAAAGTCATAAAACTTTACTTGGTACTCGGAGTACAAAATAAAGGCAACAGTAGTATACCCCTGTTCAAAATTCATAAATCGATTGAGAAAAAAGCAAATCCGGGTTACAAACTAAAACTGAGGGAAACACATCAAATATAAGAGGAGAACTACGACACAACAGAAACACAACATTAAAATGTAACACACACAGAAACGAACTATAATATAACAATGGCCAAAATTTGTGCTCGAAACACCAAATCCAGTATTTTGATTGGTTGATTTCTGAGTACAATAATCGTGCTCGAAAGTTTTATGACCGCAAGGCCTTATCGCTATTTGGGAATCTGCGAAGCTTAACCCGAGAATCTGCGACACTTGAACTATTGACGTCACACAACAATCACTTTTCCATTGTGGGGTCAGACATTTTCTATTGTGACGTCAAAATTTTACGGGAACCTTTGTGATGTCCAGTAATGGCAGACAAATAGCGATAAGGTGTATTCATTGGAAAAAAATCAACAAAGATACCAGTCTTATAATTTTGTATGCCAGACCATGTTTCTTCTTCAAAAGACTCATCAGTGATGCTTAAATCAAATAAAATAAAAGGCCAAATAAAGTACGAAGTTGAAAAGTATTGAGGACTCAAAATTCCAAAAGATTTTGCTAAATACAGCTAAGGTTATCTATTCCTGAGTAGAAAATCCTTAATATTTTGAACAAATTACAGTTTTATAAACTGTTAATTTATAAATATGACCTTAACAGTGGAACCTTGAGTTCATGTCAGTGTAATTGTTTTTTTTTTTATTGTGTATGCACAGAAAACAGAAAGTGAAATCACTCAGCTGATATTTAAGAGCCAATTCAGGATTTGACTTTCATATGTATTACTTACAATATTAAGTCTTTAAATATGATTGTAATGTGTCGGGAGATTTGCTAGAATCAAAAGCAGATTTGACAACAATCTAACTCTTATTGACGACAACAAAACTACCAACAGTTTACAGAGGGGCCTGATGAGTTATTTTCGTTCTTCGTGATCGGCCCATTTTCGCTATCGTGATCTGTTTTTCTACAGATTTTTTTTTTTTTTTATATTTTCGTGATCCGTGTTCATGGAAATTTATTTTCTGTGAATCGTGATTGACAAAAAAATCAACTCATGAATCGTGATGAGACCCCCCCATCAGGCCCCTCTTTACAGTTAGTTCTATTCTAATGCAAAAGAGAAGCGAAAGATAACAAAGGAACATTTCAAACTCATTAGTTGAAAATAAACTGTCAACGCCATGGCTAAAAAAGGAAAAGACCAACAGACAAAACAACAGTACACAAAACACAACATAGAAAACTAAAGACTGAGCAACACGAACCCCACCAAAAACTGGGGGTGATCTCAGGTGCTCCAGAAGGGTAAGCAGATCCTGCTCCACATGTGGCACCCGTCGTGTAATCCAACTCTTGAAAACATTTGAGATATGTCAGAAACCTAAACTACACTTGTGCAACATTTTTGCGAATGAGGTATACTTATACATGTAATATTTGCCACTGGACAAAACAGTAAATGATTACTTTCTTTAACATTCTCACATACAACACGAAACAATTAAGTAGAGTATATCCAAAGGGATCTCGTATGGACTCCTCCAACTATGACCCTGTGCCAATGTGGAATTGTGGTTGTCAGATGGTGTCACTCAATTATCAGACTCCAGATAGATCTATGCAACTGAATGAAGGCAGATTTATGAGAAATGGAAGGTAATTAAGTTATTTTATTTCAGGATTGGCATTAAATACAGATATTGTTTTATTGAAATTTGCTGTTATAAAATTTTGGAAATGGTTTTAAATTAAGGAATATGTCTCCCTGTTTATTTTCCAAATTTGGATATACTTTAGGCCTTTTTATGCCCCTGCCGTAGCGGAGGGGGCATTAAGTTTTATCCTTGTCCGTCTGTACGTCTGTACGTCCTGAAATTGGTTTCCATTATCTAACATTAGTTTGCCTCAACCAAATGTTATGAAACTTGTACACAATGCTAATTACCACAAAACACAGATCAAGTTTGAATGTGAGTGGCGTTACTTTTACATTTCTAGAGTTATGCCTCTTACAAATGGAAAAAATGCTGAATATTTTGTTTTCGTTTTTTTCTTGATATATGTCCCTTTATTACATTATATGCAAGCAGCGGCATCATATGTGTCCCATGGACACATTCCCCATTTATTTGGTTTCAATGTTTGTATTAGGTTTGGATTTTCAAGTATTTAGGCCTCATGCATCACTGAATAAAAATTAATTGTCGAAATGAGCATCTGATGCAGTAAATTTGGACCATTAATATTTTTATTAAGGCCTATAACAAGATCAAATTAGGATTTACATCCCCATCTGATTGTTTTGATTGAGACTTTTTCCCATGTTATATTTCCATATGTTTAAATGTTTATTATAGACCTTTGATCCATTGATTAAGAATTTTTCATTATTTATACCATGGTAGACCAACTTTATAATTTTGAATATGGAAGTCTGAACAAAATTAAGGACAATTATAGAAATGAATAAAAAGCTACAACCAAATGAGGTTTTTTTTGCTGTATGAAAGCGTATTTTATAAGAAAATATTAGCGACAAATCTTGATAAAATTTTGCAAAAGAGCGGACAACTCTGGTTTACATCTAAAAAGTCATAAATATATAAATAGGCTAATCAAATTGTTTACTTAACCAAAAAATAGGCTCCCATTAGCTCTTATATGGTTCCTGTTTCTGGTTGAAATTAGAAATTAGGATAGTTCACTAGATAAGAAAAAAGGTATTTTTTAAATTTATGTTGGGCTTTACAATTTTCCACCAAATTAAATGAAAATGGTCCATTTTCCTTTGTATGCATTTGAACTGCGAATATAGAGCATATATGTTGACAAGAAGATGTTTTAATAAAACACTTTAGAAGATAAAACTATACAAAAATCATTTTATATAATTAGATCACATGGTTGTGCATCAAGTTGAAACACTTTTAATTTTGAAATATTAACTGGTATATAGGCAGCCAAATTAGACACTTACATTTAAAGTTTCTGAAGGTTTATGAAAATATTATTATAAAAAGATTCAAGTTAAGAATTTTGTAGCATTCCTGTACAATTTCAGATGCTGCGAACAGATAAAAAAAAAAATACAAATATTATAATGAACTGAATGAATTCCTATTTACACAGTATATGTAAAAGTATATGTGCATTTTGTATTGCAGGTGTGGGTATGTTTTGCAGCCCGAGGTGATGAGAGCAAAAGATTACAGTCCATTTAGTAAACAGTGCTTACAAAATGTAGACCCACTCACGTTACATATTACTGTAAGATATTATTTAGTCTTCATTAAAGTGTTACCTAGACGTTGATCCTATCACTTTTTTCAAATATCGTACATTTTCTAGAGTTATATTGATTTATGTACTTGAGAAAGTTGACGCTGGATTTGGGATTGATTAAAGGTAACTCCCTTTTCATTTTTTAATTTTTTGTCATTACATAGTTCAGGGACTTTGACTTTCAGGTTTAAGTTAACTTTTTTCAGGTTGAACACTTACTTGAGTATCTTTGGATAGATCTACTTGAAACTTTACTCAATTGTTGGAATTGATTAAACATATATTTTATTTAGAAATTTTGAAACAGAGGTATCTTACTGAATTAAAGCAGTCATTAACCATAACAAAAATTCTAACTGTAATGGCAATGCCTGTCAGAACAAGCTTGTTAAGGGAAGCTTTTCCAAATGTCATACAGACAAAATTAACTGGTAACCTTTTCATCTAAATGTAAGTTTTCTAGTACCATCATTGAAAATAGGTGAATTTAATGTTTCAGAGATAGTGGGAGCCCTTGATTATAAATGTTACTGTTTATTTTGACTCTTTCAAAAGTGATCAAGATACAAAAAATTCATACACATTAAATATTGATATTTGTTTTTGTCTATTTGGATTCAATTATCTGGTCATATAACATGTTAAAATTTACATATGCAATTAGATAGTTTTGCTGTGGTTTGACATTGTGATTGAAAATGAAAATTGAGAAATTGACCACATTATTTATTTGTTTGACAGGTACTGGGAGCTAGACATTTATTAAAGTCTGGGCGAGGATTTGCCTGTCCATTTGTAGAAATAGAAATAGCGGGAACAGAAACAGATAATAGCAAGTTTAAAACACCGAAAATTGGTATGTGTCTCGTGTGTAATTCTATGAAGGGTAAAAAACATAATGAGCACATTATATTCACCTAAACATAGGTAATAGGCCTGAGATTAACAATTTATATCCATCAGTTTTTTTTCCCAATATTATGATCTGCATTTTATATGTAATAAATTCCATTGATATGTCGATTAAAATTGTTGAGAAAATTTATAGGTCACTGTGACCTTTAGGTTGGAAAATACACTTTGCTGCTCTTTCTAAAAAAAAAAAAAATTATCTCTTTGATCGAACTTCCAACACAGATAAATCATGCTATTTCAACCCCACAAAATCTATATACAGTATGACTTTAAATAAAGAATTAAAAGTAGAATTATATTTTGTGTTTTCAGATGACAATGGTTTAAACCCTACTTGGAGAGAAAATTGTTCTAACACTTTTGACATTACCTGCCCAGAATTGGCACTAATCAGATTCTTCGTACAGGACGAAGATGTATTTGGTGATCCTAAGTTTCTGGGACAGGCAACATTCCCTGTTTCTTGTTTACGATCAGGTAAGATTAGCCTCTATATTTATAGACATTTATCTATTTATTTCTCATAGAAGAAGTTTATTTCATTTGTTATTTTCTATAAAATGTATTCACCAGATTTTTGTAGCAAGAACTTATCCAAGTAGCTGGAGAACTTTAGCTCCTTGCCAAAAAAATCCAAACACTATTAGAGTAACAGTTATGCAGCTACAATCATAATTACTTGTTGAAGATTATCAGTAGGTGTAATATTTGGTAAACAAGCAACAATCCAAATTACTTGTTCAAGATGATATAAAATATTGGTTGGGCATGACACATGTTTCTGGGAAAACTTTCATCTGGTATGCTCCAGATAAAAGTGTAAAGTCGGAATAGATATACAATGAAGATTACAGAACAGCTAATTATTTAAGAATAAGAGAAATACAGAATGAAGAGGAAACAATAGTTGTTTCAAATGTTATGGATAGACATTCCTAGGCACTTGTTTAAGATCAAGGGAAATATATGTTGTTAAGCTTTTTTTCTTAGATCTTGATCAAGGTCAGCTTAATACATATACTTCTTATTTAAGCCCTAGTTCTTATTAAAGATCTGATAACAATTTTGGCAAGGAGCCAGCATTCATTGGTAGCTGTTTCAGATTAGGTTTGGAAGTTATTAGACTTGCAATAGTCCAAGTTCGGCAACAATTCAAGTAAGGCATTTAAGATCAGGCAAACATATTTGATGAATAGACTTTTCCAGTTAGTCATTTGATATGAGTAGGGGGGAATGGTGTACAGGTATTCCCAGTTACTTCTTTTAGATCAAGGAAAATATTTGGTGTACAAACAACATTCTAAGTAACTTGTACAAAGTCTGGTTTGATATTGGTTTTCAGGTAACAGAACATTTATAATCTTGGTTTAAATCATACAGGTAAATAGAGTTTGAAATGGCCAATGTTTAAGATATTTATGATAATTTCAAGGATATGAATGTAAGGAAAAATAAATATCATACAAAAAAATGTCTGTATCAAATATTGTTATAAACTAATTGTCTTCTCACTCAAATATCATTTCAATCAAATATATTACAGGTTATAGAAGTGTACCTATACTGAATGGTTATAGTGAAGAATTAGAAATGGCTGCTTTGTTAGTGCATATAGATAAAAAGAATCCCAGAGTAAGTATTTATCATGATGCTCCATTGCTGCCACCAAGAAGTATTGTAAGTCCAGGAAAACTCTTATTTCTCAATATTTAAAAAAAAATGTCATAACTATATTGCTGGCATTTTTTTTTTTTTAATTTTGCCATTTCTTTTATCCTTTTTATCCATTTAAAGGGGCATTAGCTGCAATCAAGAGGGGAAAACATTTTTTTTGTTTTGTTTCAAACATTTATAAAAAACAGAATATTGAAATAATGTTTTCCTATCAGCAGTCAGTTTGGTTCAATTTGGTTAAAATAAGATCAAAAACATTGCAAATGTATTATTGGGTTGCAAGTTCATAATGTTACCTCATTTGAATCCGTATTCATTGTCTAACTTGACCTTTAGCTGAAGATGGTTTAAGCATACCCTTAGCGTGTTCAGTTGAAAGAAATGAAAGTCAACATTGAAAAGGGAAATAAGGCAGCTACCATAAACACATAAAAAAAACCCATTCCTATGACTGATTTCTACCACAAGAAAGTATTCATATACAGTTAAAATGATGATTTACTTTTTTGAAATCTGACATGAAATCAAACTGACCTTGAAAATTTGTAATTACACAACTCCACCATACTTCAACTACAGGTTGAATGACTATCAGCAGCCTTCTGAAATTATCTCAATGGTTAATTAGGTGGCATCAAGTATAAAATATTTATGAAATGCGGATACATTATAACGAGTCCATTCATTATTAATTGTTTCTTTTGGACTTTTTGTAATTTGGGTTTACATTTTGGTATGATATGAATCAAATATAAGAATTTAAGTCAAATTGGTGATAATGAATTTAACAGTTAATGTCCCTTTAATATTCTTTTCTACTCAAATGTTTGTTTTGAAAATTCCAGAAACATTTTTTCCCACCAAAAATTACTATTTTTCAAATACTTATATCTAAAAAAGCAAGCACATGGACCTATTAGTCCCCTACCGACCAACCTATGTTAAGGAATGACTGTAATATTTTTTCTGTCTATGAAGAAATAACATAAAAAATGTGGTGCACAAGTGTGCACCACATTTTTTAGGTTATTTTGAATAGGCAGAAAAAATATTACAGTCATTTCTTATAATTTAATTCTAAATTCTATTTTTAGGGAGTAAATTTTGAAAAAAAACGTTGGTGACGTCACGGTCACATGACAAAATTATGTCTATGAGCTGATAGACAAAACACTTTCAGCCAATCAGAAGACGTGTTACTTCCAAAATTAAATTATAAAAAGATATCATTGGTGAAAAATGATGGTAGAAGGATACATCCTTAATTTACTGTTTCAGAATTAAAATTACCCATAATCCATTAGATTCTGAAATGCCTCACCCAATTAGGTTAACAAAGAGAGGCGAAAGATACCAAAGGGGCATTCAATCTCATAGTAGAAAATAAACTGACAACGCCATGGCTAAAAAAAGAAACAGACAAACAATAGTACACAAAACACAACATAGAAAACTAAAGACTGAGCAACACGAACCCGACCAAAAACGGTGGTCTCAGTTGCTCTGGTGTGTGTTATAGGTAGGTTTAAACATGCTTTATTTTGACTCATATTTCACTGTTTCAGGAAAGTGAAGAGTCAGATATCTATGCCTGTATACAAGATTTACGAGATAAGAAGAAAGATCTGGAGGAACAGATTGGAACTTATCAAAAGGAAGGAAAACAGCAGAGTGTTCAAAAATTAATGGAGGAACTGTCTCTTACGGAAGAAGATTTAATTGCAAAAAACGATGAACGTCGTCAGAGAAAGTGAGTTATATTGTAAAGAATGAAAATTATTTTAAATTGCCAAAATAGGAAAAGTGAAGTGATTTTTATCTCCGTGTGAAATTTTTTTCTTTGAAAATGGGGAAAGTAAATTTTCTGTTTTCTTGAAATAGAATAATGTTTAAATGATTATTAATTAGATATGGTTTTCCATAGAAATGGAAGTAAAGAATGTTAAATATAAAATTAAAAGATCAAGTATCATTTTGACAAAAATAAAAAAAAAACAAGGCTTAAAATAAAGAAAAAATATTTAAAGAAATAACACTAATGAATTTGATATAGAGTTTAGCATACTAAGATCATATCCTTAATTGTTGTAAAATTGGTAAATTTCAAGGCCTTTGTAACTTGTTGAAAGAAAAACTATATTAATTATAAACTTAGGAACAATCTGTTATGAAGTATTTGTGTTATATTGGCATGAAAATGTTGCATGATGCACATTGTTTTTTATTTTCACTTTGTTTATTTTTAATTTTGTTTGGCTTATTTAGTTCAGCTTTTTCTTTGTAGAAAAATTCAGTTTTTTCCTTTATTAAATGCATTTTATAGAATTATTCTAATGGAGTTTAAATGACTCTTTACTATGCCTTTGTTTAATCTACCATTCCAGATGTTTGAAAATTAAATTGCTAGATATATAAATAAAATAAACATTCGAAATAAATATAGATCAAAGAAAAATGGAACATTGTACGAATCATTGTTCTTGGTGCGATTTTAATAAGAGAGACAAGTTTGACCCAATGTGCCATGTATGTTTTCCTCAAAACTATAAATCTTGAACTGACTTTTCTGAGGCCTATAAAACATAGGAACTTGACTTTTTTCAGGTCTAAAAAAAATAGGTAAAACAGTGTGACTATGGTGGTGTGTTACATGTGTAATATAATACTTTTGGAGCACAGAGTGTGTTGCACTTCCCACAATTAAATGTTCGCTTCCCTATTACAAATCGGTGCACCTCTAGAAATGGGACTTGTAAATACAATGCAGAGTATTAGAAGGAGTCTAGGCTTACAGAGCTTAACCCTTGAACAAATAGAATTTATAAGAATATGTATTGATTGAAATAATGAATTTACATTTTTTTTTTTATCTATTTCATAAAACATTATTGAATTCACTTTATCATCATATTTACATCAAAAAGTATTGAATTTACTTTAACATCATATTTACATAAAACAATATTGAATTTACTTTAAAATCATATTTACATCAAAAAGTATTGAATTTACTTTAACATCATATTTACACAAAACAGTATTGAATTTACTTTAACATCATATTTACACAAAACAGTATTGAATTTACTTTAACATCACATTTACATAAAACAGTATTGAATTTACTTTAACATTATATTGACTGAATTTACTGTAACATCATATTTACTTAAAACATATGGGTTGTTCCATAATTAAACACATGGAGGCATGGAAAGCACATTTTGATAAGTCCCCGATAACCCATAAAATAAAAAATTTCATTTTACTTATAATTCTTACAAAATTCTAAGGAAAATGCAACCCCTATATTTTTATTAATTTGAGTGCCTCCAATCCCCCAATTGTTAAATTTTGGAACAGCCCTTATTGAATTTTTTTTAACATCATATTTACATAAAACAGTACTGAATTTACTTTACTGTGCTTGTTCAGAAGGCTTTGTCCTTTCACAATATCAATTGCTAATAGAGTTGTACCCAATAGCAGTTTGAAACATCTCTTCAAAATGATCAACTGGTAAAACATTTCAGCTAATTGTTTCCATGAAAGGTTGTTAGTATTTTATAGAGTGCAGTGAAATAAAATTAATGCTTACCATCCAAATCCAGTTATTTAATTCCCTGTGATGCATTTTCACATATGTCTCTCAACTTGCCTGCTTACCCAAATACTTATAGTGACGGTATCATAAGTGAGCAATAGTTCACAGTCCATGTTCTTTGAAATTCTAACATAAGTAGTAAAACATTTGAGATTTGTTAAGTTGGAAATAGCTTGAAAAAATGTATAATTTGAATTATCTATATTTCAAAATGTTGTTAAAAATTCAATCTTTTTTATACAAGTTTTGTTTGTTTTCTGTGCATTGTTTGTCAACAAAACAAAGAGACTTATAATAATCTTGATCTGACTTTACTTAGGTCTAAAAAAAAAGGTAAAACAATTTGATTGTGGTGGATTGTTATGTGTAGAAGATATCATATTGGGAGCACAGAGTGCACGGAACTTCACGCAATTCGATACATTTCCACTTCCCTATTAATAATCTTCTCAATTTTTCAAAATGAATTTTTCAATATTAGTAAAAATGATCATTTCTTTATTTCTAAATATGATCATTCCAATATTGATTCAATACTGGATCTATACAGTTGGTACCTAGTAACAAGAGTGAAAACTTTAAATAATAAATAATTAAAAGGCAATTTTAATTTTTATTGGTGTAAAAAAAAGGCATGTTTTATCTCTGAATGAGGAAAAGATTTAGAAGCTATTTCCAGTATTCACAAAAACAATATTAAGTTTAATATTTTATTCTGAAGTATTAATAGTATTTTTTCTGAACAGTATGTTTCACATGCACTTTCATTCATGGTGAGTTTTCTAATATTTTGGACTTAGCAGCTGCATCCCTCTGTGTGATGGGGCTTTATGTGACCGTCATTTGTATGTGAAACTTTTAACATGTATTTTCTTTGCAGGACGTATATATACACATATATATATACATGTAATGTTACACATATTTTATATTGTGTTTCATGTATGAGTGTTATATGATTTATTGTTATAAAAAATCACTGATAGCAGGGGTTGGAAAAATAGTAAGAGGAAAGAAGGAAAGGTAATCGCTGATATCAGGGGACTTGAATGATAGAAAGAAAGAAAGTTATTTCTTGTATCAGGAACTTGAATAACAGAAAGAAAGAAAAGTTATTACTGATATCAGGGAATTGAATAATAGAAAGAAAGAAAAGTTATTACTGATATCAGGGGACTTGAATAATAGAAAGAAAGAAAAGTTTCTTTCTTATCTGATTTGTGTTATATTGAAAAAAAAAGTCAAGACTTTTGTTTGCAGTAAAGGTGGGAGTATGTAGGGGATAAAAATTTAACTGGCATCACACTGTATTCTGGTATTTGTTGTAAATGATGATCAGAATATTAATATTTTCTGTAACAGTGCTATTGTGAATTGATTAAGCATTGTGTATGCTTAAAAGATTATCAAAATGTCAATATTTTGTTTTGTAGGAAATATCAGAAAATCCTTGGAATTGACGATTTTAAACGTAGTCATGGTAACTAACATTAACCTTCTCCACAATAGTAAACAAAGAGTTATCTCTCTTTTCCCTATAATAAAGCATGTATAGAATATTACCTATGATTGGTATAAATTAATATGGTATAATTTATGCAATCTGTCTCTGACCCAAACAACTATCTTCCCTTTGGATTTCTAACTCTCACATTTATTATATTTAATATATACTTCATTACATAGTTTTCCTACATGTAAACTTCTAAATTTTCTACCCTAGCTTGTAGAAAACTGTTTACATCCATTCTTCAATCTTAAAACAGTTTCATTGTCTTTGTTCAGGGCTTTTAAAGTTAGTTATTTTATGCTCTTTTCTACTTTTCATATCAATGTATAGTCCTTATAGAAAATTTTCCTGGAAAATGTGAATGATCATTTTCTTTATATGTATTTTTAATGTGATGATTTGATTGGTTATTGCCAGTAATGCTGTCCCTGGTTCAGCCATAATTCATCTTTTAAATATCTTCAGTTGAATATGTTTATTTCCTAATATATTTGTAAATATTATGCCTGTAGAAATAGACATATATATATCTAAACAATGACATGTTGATAAATCAGCTTTGGTTACATTTTAATCCTGTAAGAGATTGCATAAAAGAATATATATAACAAAAAACAAAAATTAAAAAACAATTGAAACTTGTATTTTTGAGTATTGGCACCCTTAAGGTGCACAATATATAAGTAATAAAGTTTTTTTTAAAGTATTGAAACAGAAATATTTCCAATCTCTTTATATTATAAACACTATACACGTAGAAATGCAATCTGCTGGCCATTCGAGTATCAAAAAACAAGAAAGTGTTGCTGCATTTGGCCATAGCCCCAAAAGGCACGAAATCGTGAAGGCACAAAATTCAGCCCCTATGCTTGGACGGAAACAAGAAAGTATGAAGGGTTCTGTGGAAGACTTAACAGCCAAGGGTGATGAAGAAAAACGTGCTCAAAGGAAGTAAGTCGCTGAAAAAAAGTTTGGCTACTTTCTGTGGAAAAAATAGAGTATTTTCCTTTGTTGATTTATTTACTTGCTTGATTTTTAGGTTAAAAAAGTGCTTAATACTTAGTAATTGTTTGGGAAGGGGGGAAATATATCTGCCTTTTTATGGAAGGGAAAAGTAATATTAATATAAGTAAGTCTTAACATAAGAGCAATAAGTTCCAAATATTAAAATAAAAAAGACAAAAGCATTGTTTTATTAATATTTCACAGAATAGTCTTTTAAATAAAAAACTAATATAATGAATTCTTTTTAAAGTATTCTTGAAATACGACACATGTGTTCTTACATGTATATGTAAACCAATGACAGAAAGTTCGACTTATAGGCTGTTTTAATCCTTCTATATATGTTTTTCAGAAAATATCAAAGAATTTTAGGTATAGATGAAGACATAGCATCTTCTGAGGGTAAAATCACAACTACGTACATGTAGCTTAAAAATGACTATTTGCTAGAATGCTGACTAAGCTGAATACATGGAATGTCAAAATATATAATCACGTCCTTGATAGATATTGCTTTCTCGTAAATCATTCAATCTCCCTATATAAAGGTGCAAATGTATCAAAAGGTCTGTTAGAATGCTCAGATGATGCAGCAATGGGTATATATGTCATTCACCCTATTATAAGTCCTTGCACACATATTGCTATATTGCTTAGTATGAGTCCTATAGAAGCAACATTTAATCAAGACTTAAAGGCTACTTATTGCAAGAATTCCTTTATAAGTATTTTAAAATTGACAATCTTATTCTTCCTGTAGAATGCTTCTGAAAGCAATTTTTTTATTGAAAGTATTGTTAGCCTTTATTTAGGCTTGCGCTGTCATTTCTGCCTTTAAGCTGATGATACAGTGCAGAAACATTGTATGATAATTCACAGTGATGTTACCGCCCTTTTCACTTCAAAAAAGAGAAAGTGATATATTTGATCAGAAAGAATAAAATGGCAAAAAAAATCACTTCAGGCATGTGGTTAAAACTCCAGTTCAAGCGCGGACCCAGGATTTGAAGTTCAGGGGAAGGGGGAGGCTTCTGAGGATTAGGAATTAGAGGACCCTATTGTAACTCAAAATTGGCTGTAATTTCACCTATATTACATTTTTTTTTTTTGGGGGGGGGGGGGGGGAGGGGCTGGGTGTGCCCCAGCCTGAATCTGCACCTGCCATTATCACTGTGATTCATCATGTTATACCTATGACAGTAGGCATTCAAATCAAACTGTCCGGAATTTCTCTCTGCTGGCTTATGCTAGTGACTGCTGGATCTATATATCTTAAGCTTTTATTTCACAAAGTACACAAGGTTAATGGTCTCTTAAACACATCTTTTATAAATTGAAAAAATAGAAAAAATTAACTGATCTTTATCTTAATTATTCTAGTCTTTTTGCATTATTTCCTTATATTTGTTGCATTTTGCAACAAAATAGAACATGTGTTTTTGAATTGATTCGTAACTGGATCAATTTGATTTTTTATCTATTAAAGCTTTTTAAGCAATTGATACATTTCTCAGAGTCTGCAGTCTGCTTTTGGTGATGAAATCAAAGATTTCTTTAAATATAACTTAACAATTTTGGATTCAATAACTGATATTTTAAAAACATTGTCTTCATAGAATTAAATTGAATTGGCGAACACATGTTTTGTTTTGGTTGTAAAAAAACTACTTTTATTGAAATTCATGGCTAGACAGTCTGACTAATTTGTTACTACAAAGTTCTTGCAATGGTAAATTGAATGCTGTCATGGCCTCTTTGATGCACATGAATATTCTTAACCAGTATACAATTGTTATCATTTGTTATCATTTGTTATCATTTGGTGGAATGGTCTTTCATTAGCATTGTATACTAAAGTCTGATTTGGTCAAATCAGTGTTTGGTTTTATCATCAGCTAAAGCTAGGTAAATATAAATTGCTTCAGGTTTTTTTTCAGGAAGATTTGGCTAAAAATTTTAAAAAAAACATATGTTTACTGTCGCATGATGCTGAAAAATTAGGGTCAAAAGGTAAGGGATTTTTTATGCCCCTGCCGCAGCTGAGGGTACATTAAGTTTTACCCTCATCTGTCTAAGTGTATCTGTATGTCTGACAGTACGTCCCAAAATTAGTTTCTGTTCTCTAACTTTAGTTTGCCTCATTCAAATGTTATGAAACTTATACACAATGCTTATTACCACCAAACACAGATCAATTTCGAATTTGGGTGGCATCACTTGAGCTATGTCCCTTTATAAATTGAAAAATTGCTAAATTTGCCATTTCCATAAACTAACTTTAGTTTGCCTCTACCAAATGTTATGAAACTTATACAAAATGCTTATTACCCCCAATGGCGTCACTTTCACTGTTCTTGAGTTATGTCCCTTTATATGTATTGAAAAATTGCTGAATTTGCAGTATACTTACAGGTGGGAGTATTGGTGTCCCATGGTCAAATTCTTCTTTTATTTTTTATTGATTCTTGATTCTACAGGGGAGACATTGTGACTTTAATAGTGCTTAATTGAAAATGGTAAAAAACGAATAGGGTAGGGGGTTAAAATAGGGTGGGTTAGGTGACAGTAAACACATATAGGGCTTTTGCCTTAGGTGTCATTTACTTTGAAGCAGTTTTATTTCAACAGCTTGAAAAAAATAGATAAATAGCATGATGATATAATCTGAATGGATTTGACCAGCTGAACTAAAATAATACAGTCATGATAAGAAAAAATAAGTTTAATTATTTTTCATTTTATGATCTTTTTGAATTTGAAAAAAAAATATCTGGTAAGATGAAAGATTAGCTATTTTCAATGTAAAATAATTTGCAGATTTTAACAAAATTAGGCTAAAGTAATTCAAAATTCAGTTTTATAATTAATATTAAACAATAAATGCATATTTCATTTTGAATTGAAAATTAAGGATTTTTGAAAACTTTGATTAATATATCAGTAGAATAGATGATAAGAAATACTGGTAATTTCGTTCAAATTTGAAAATTTAAATATGACAGAAAAAATTTGATTTAATAACTAGATGAAAAAATGCTAATGTACCAAAGAGTAGCAAAACAAGAGAAGAATCAGTACTTTGAAATTGAAGAGATTCGTGCACAGAAGAAAAAACGTAGCAAAGAGAGTAAGTCAAGTTAAAAGCCAAATCAGAAACTCATGTTACATCGTTGTTACTGAAAAAAAGTACCAGTCATAATAACACATTACTGTAGATTCATTATTATTATACCACGAAAATTGGTATCTACAAAATAAATGAATCCACTGTGACCACAGTACATTGGACATTGTGCATAAAAGTGCAACAAGTGGTCTGTGTTTGCTTTTTAAAATTTTTAAGTAGTTCAAAGAAAAACAAAGCTGTTTAAAAGTGAAAAAAAATTATGTATAACACATATGCCTTTGCTATGGTTTAGCCTAAATTAGATATTGCCTACATTTACTTTTAGTTGTTGAGATTATTTAAACAACTCTTGAAAATATTGAAATAGAATTTACGATTGCAAAAAAACAAGTAAGCGTATGTAGAGTAGTTAGTCATGTTAGTGGTGCAAATTTGTCAATTTTTGTTTTCATATCTAAAAGCTCTTTCTTTCCTCATTCTTGAATTCCACTGTATTATATTGATATTACCTACTGTGTTCTTAACTATAACTAGTCTGGTTCGCTCAAATGTCAATCCGGTAACTGCCTCTCAATGTTGTCAAGGTTCACAGGTTGACTCAAATAGTTGTCCATACATTTTATACATGGATATTCCTGTTTTTCTGATGACATGTTAACTATAGCTATGAAGACAAAATCATTGTTATTTCAAACTGGAGTGACATATCCTAGCTAATCATGCAATTTAGTTGGTTTCCTGAACAGGGTATCTGAGCCCATATATCCTGTGAAGATCCGGAATAACATATACTGGTAATATCCACAGTTTCTTTGAAATTAGTCATATTTTTCTTGAATGCAATGAATGGATAAAATGGCTGGTTAAATAGCTTATTCCATACCAGATATTAAAAACACATTCAGGACGAGGGACCAGTCCATGAGGAAAATATAATATTTATAGATGTTTTAGTCTTGCTAACTAAACTTTCACAATTCTGTAGAACAGTTTTAGTTTGCTCACGCTCGCAACTGTGAGGAACTGTCAAAACAATTCTAAACTTAATTTTTGATTTAACATATATTTTCTTTCCTTGCTAATACTGGATATATTCTGTTCTTTTTCCCTCTTTATTCTTAGCAGATATAGACATTCTCTCTTTATCCTTACCAGGCATAGCCATTCCCTCATTATATTTCAGATTTTAGGTAGTGTATATCATGTATATGAAGTTTGGGATTTGATACCAAATATTAAACAACAAATTATAAACGAGAAAGTAGTTGTCTTCTCTGCTTGACTTAATATCGGCTTTTATTTACAGATTAGCAATGACTTCACACAGTCAAAGCACATATTGTTTATAAACCAATTGAGAAACAGATTTCTCATATGATACCTTATTTCTCCACTGTCAATCCATGAATTTTAGATATTCATAATGGTTGTATTTAAGTTTTATGTTTTTTAAAATTTGATGATTTAGGTTTATTGATTGAGAAATATTGTATTTCTATTTACGCAGTAGTAGAATTTATACATGTACAGTGTATACAAATGTACTGCATGCAGGAAAAGGGGAAATGGCAGATGATATTCATCTGGAAGCAGGTGTCATGAAACCTTTCATCATATTCAAGATTCTTGTACAAGAGCCAGGTTATTTAAAGATGAACAGGGATAAAAAAAGAATTAAAAAAAAGATATCTATAAACATTCTAAATGATTTCTTGCCTATTTGTTTCAGAAAATTAAAAAGACTTCTAGGGATGTCTCATTATGGAACAACCGTATGGTAAAACTCAAGCTACCAATAGTCATTGCTTTGCATAAACTGTTTATCCTAGCTTGCTTTTCTAAAATCTTTACAAAAAAATGAAACAAAGAAATACTGTTAAATTTAATAAACAGTATATAATAATAGCTTTGTTAACAATAAAATCCACATTTAATTGCAATTTTCTTAATCCACATTTAATTGCAATTTCCTTTACTTTTAACATCAATTTCTTTTTCTTCAATGCTGAATATATTTTGTAGGTTTCAAAATTTTTTTCAAAATCTCTTTAACTTTATTTTTTTGTTTAAGTAAAATTAAAGGATTTTTTTTGTACTTATTAACACAAAGCTTATTAGTATAAAACATGTTCAGGTCATTTGTATAAATAATATTGTGCAATAATATATCAATGATTGATAGAGTTGGACAGATATTTGACGAATATCAGTAAATTTGCATAGACAATTGTGTTTAACTCCATCCATTTAATTAACCACTTAAGAATTTAATGAATGTGTGGTATGCAATGAAGCAAAAAAAAAAAAAAAAAAAATGAAATAAAGGGAGACAAATCAACATAATGTTATTACAAAGACTTGTATAATGACTTTCTCTATTACAGACTTTGCCTTCAGTTTGCTTTTTCTTGCACATTAGAGGACTTTGATAGATTTAATAATATTACCTAATATTCATATATACATGTACAACTAGAGAATTATAAATATACTAATCAACAAAGTATGTTAAAACAATCAATATCAATGTATATTGGAGGGTCTGGATTGTAGGTCCTTCATTTCTGTAAACCTCATCCAGACCCTGATTTTAACCAGTTGTGGAAAAAATTTCTCCCAGATTGTCATTCGAACATATCAAATTTTGGCAGACATTTTGACTGAGTTTTGATTCACCTGATGTGTGATGCATTCATAGCTGGAGATGTTGACCCATTATCAGTCTGGCTCATCTTGGAGTTCATGCAATTCCATCAGCTTTTGTTTGTTACCTTAAAACATCTTTAGATTTTATGATGATGTATTACTCTATGTTATGTACATAAATTGTGTTATCATTGTCAGGATGACTGTGAATAAATGATAGTCAATAAAACATGTTTTGCTTGCTATTTTACTACCCTAGAGGCTGTCCCCTATACCATAGAAGCAGCTGATATATATATATATGAATAAACACCAGCTAATTTTAAATTAAGGTTTATCAATATTGCCATTAGAAAATTCTAGTGAAAGATTGCATTCATGTTAAGTTCAAATGTGAGAAGAAACATACATGATAACAATTTCTATGTGCTTAGAGTTCTCGAAAAGTGGTGGTCCAAAAGTTTTGACCACCAAAATTTTGCACATGACAGACACAATTTTGGTATTATGCAATAGAAACAATAATAAGGACCAGCAGATTTTTTTCAAGGAACACCAGGGAAAAAAAGATTTCAAGACACATGATTCTGGTATACTGGCGATTAAATTATCATTTATATAAATGGTTCCTAGTTATAACAGCAGCATTGTATTATATTATTATTTTTGCAGTATAAGCGATGTTCTTTGAAAATCTGTAGTATTAAGTGTGTACTGAATTCTATTTAAATATTTCAGCATTATTGAGACATATGATCCATTTCTCAATATCTTTGCAGATCTTCGGGCTAGTTAACTATATTAGTTGATAATTTTTCATTAGTTCTATTTATTTTAGTTGAACAATAATTAATTTTAATTCGTATGTTTATTAATGTTTTTATTTTTTTCCTTGTTTTATTTTAATATTTTACTTTTAAAAACTTTTTTTTAAATATATATGTTATTGTGCATGTTTTGAAGTTTTTATTTGTGCATGTTGTCTTGTTGATCAATGTTATTTGGATGAATGGATAATAAAGAACCATATATAAAGGTTAAAGGTTAAATGGATAGCATCAGGTATAGTGAGAATGAATTTAGTTTAAATGATGCATGCACTGTAAAGCCAAATTAATATTTAGTAGATTTATCATCCTCAAACACTAAGAGAATTGAAGAATTGAAAAATGAATTTGCTTTTTCAGATAAAAAATTTGAACACTGAAAAATGTATTAAAATACCAATGTTACCAAAAAAAAAATTTGATCTTTAGTCCACGTTTTATAAATTGAAATATTAAGTTGCAAAATATGAAATGGTTCAAACTAAATTGAATTTTTGTATCTTTTATCATGTTAATGCCAAAGTAAATTAAGAAAAGTCTGACTTTTATTTATGAAATCATTCTGCAAAATTTTTTCACAATACTAAAATTGATGAAATAATATCTCAAAATGCCTGCGTTTGTTTGCATGGTTGGATAGATTGTGTAAAAAATTTTTAAAGTGAGCGAATTATTCAATACTTCTTAGTGAGCATTATAATGCATTTCTTGACATTAGCAGTTTCATAAAATGAAATACTGCTTCCAAAGAAGATCAATGGATATTTTACATTTGTTCTTATCTTTTCAGAATAATTTCTACAAGGCCAAAAGTTGTGTATAGGAGGACCTCAAATAGTTAAATACCTTATCACCATTTATGACCATGTGACTGATCATGTGACAGAGATCTCATCCTGATTAACACTCATCCAATCAAATCTTGTGATACATACAACATATGTGCTATGACAAAGGGACATTACTCATGTTTAAATTGTTGACAATATTGTTATACATTAATATTGTTTTGATTGTAACTTATCTATTCCCATCTGTAAGTGCTAATTTTGCTTTTGAGCTATGATGATGAGAAAACAATCATAAATCTAAACGTAAATCTCATACTTGTATGAGATTCTACTAAAATTTAATTAGAATATCAAGTCATTATTGATATTCGCCCAACAGACAACACAAGTCTGTGTCCACACTTGTTATATAAAAAAAGCTTTTTGGTCCAAGCTTCAGGCCTAACAATATATATTTTTTTTTTCTTAGAAATGTAAGCTTGGTTTACTAATGTAGAATTTTTCTCATTTTTCTTCTTCAAATAGCTCAAAATGAAAATAGAATACATTTGATAATGTGGTAAAGAAAATGTGTGTATTTACATTATTTCCACTCACTTGTAAAATAATTACAAGATTTCAAAAAAAAAATTCCCAAACGTCTCATCTTTTGATTGATTTAAAATAAACCAAAATTGATAATTTTGGCATGTTCAAGGCTGTTATCTTACCAAAAATTCCCTAGATTTGATAATTGCCAATTGTGAAGAGATTTTTCTATATTAACAGTATATTGCAGTAGAATTGCACGAGGTAATTGAAAAGACATTCAACATCATTAAAGACACTCTTACATTATATAATACACAGAATTATGTAATTCTCTGATACATCAATTGTATGGTAGTATACATATCCCTTTCTGATTTATACAAACAGTCAAGTTGCCAATGACTAATAACTAGTATGTACTTGTAAATGAATTAGTATACAAGGTTTAACAAATAAAATTTCTTTGTTTATAATCCAGGAGATTATATATAGCAGTTTGATGCCAATTTTTATATACTTTTTGACAATGATACATGTTTCTGTTTGAAGTGTACTTAGCAATGACATCAACTCTTTGGTAATTACACATTATGTAATCAGCATAAGTCAGAAATTGATATTCTTCCCTTTTATGATATTGGTGTCAAGTTAAAAAAAAATTAAGAATTAATATGCAATTGTTTGTTGTGTACAGCCAAAAAATCTATATACAATATATACTGTAACTACCAATGAATTGTTTTTGTTATTGCCCCCATCTCTTTTTATGTACAAAAGAGAAATAAATATTGAATTTTTTGCAACATCATTTTCTTTTGCTGTAAGATTTGATGTACGTCAGAAGCCTAATTCTAATCTATGTATGAATGCTTTAGAATAACAGCTTCTAAAATTCCTAACCTAAGCTAGCTATTTTTGTATTAACATCAATCCTGACAGCATTGAATCAATAGTATGCAGAAGCAGATTATGGAGGTGGCCAGCAGGTTAATGCATAGACTTTTTACAAGTCCCACTCCTAATTTTGTCTTGTTGGGTTCTCTTTTTCAAAATCTTGGATCTGCTTCTGGTATGATAGTAGATAAAAAAAGGTAAAACAAGAAGAGGGGCCTCCTTTTTTGTTCTAAATGCAGAAACCCTTTGTCTATATACCAATTTTGTCTCTCCTATGAAGAAAGTTGCTTACTTTATCATTTTGACATTCTGTTTCTGACTTTGGCAATAAATGTTAAAGCTTGTGATAAGATTACGCAGGGGAGTGATATCTCTATGTGTTTTTTTTTTATAAATATTTTGGAAATGATTGAGAAATGAGCTTGAATTATATGTAGTGCTAATGGGAGACAGCAGCATTGATGATATTTATTTGTTATACCTCACATTCAATTGTAGAGGTCATCTGTGCCTCCTTCTGACCACCTGTCCAGTATCAGGTTAATTTTTTGGTTTTAGGTAGTTTTTGGTCATATCAACTTGAAATTTAATACACATGTTCTTTATGAAGTGAACTTTTTAAAAACATGTGCCAAATTAAGACTCAAGACAGTTAGTTCACTGAACATTAAAATGTGATAGTTTGAGCAGGTAATGGTGTTCCATGGACACATTCATATTTTGTTCTTCACTGCAAGATCAGTTAAAATATAAACTATAGTGTTTAGCCCTTTTGTAATTCATAGTCCTTGTTTAATTTTATGAGAGATGGGTTACATATACTGTTAGAATGTCTATTTTCAGATAGATATGGTCACTTTTAAAGTGGTATCATTTGAGATTGTCTTTATCAATATTGTATCTAATTAAATGATTCAATTTAAAATGTCAAATATATCTTTATATTGGAAATGTTTATTAAGTTTGATTTTTGTTAAACATAAATTACTTTAGTATATTGTGGTTAGTTCCAGACCAGAACAATATTCGACAATTTAATGAAAAATCAAGTATCTCTTACTGTGTCAAGATTTGAAATCATGTAATTATGTTGGAAATTTACCCAGTAGGTTGATATTTGTTTAACTTAATGATAAAAATGTCAGTTTATTTTGTGTCTTTTTTTTCCCTTTTTTTTAAAGAAATTTTAAATCTTTGAAGAGGATGATATTTGTTTGAATTAATCATTAGAATATCAGTTTTTTTGGGTTTTTTTTAACAAATTTTCAAATCTTCAGTTGACGTCTACTCACCTCCAATTTTGATGCTGATAAACCTTCTATTTTCGAGAATTAATCCCCCAATTTCACACTCTCTAGGTATTATTTATAATAAGTAGTTTTTTTACCCCAAACAACATTGACATATTATTGTCAGCAAGGACTATTAAAAAAGCGATATAGACTATCCCTGACTATCTATAATGATGTTGTAGCCAATTATTAATTAATTAACGATTAGGATTTTGTTAATTTATATGATGATTGTAATGATTTTCAATTGTTATTAACCAAATTACAAAAAGTCAGATTGAAGATCATTAAAGAAAAAAAATGAAAATGGCAAATATTACATAAATGATGGTGATGTCTTGCGTTGGAGGTTTCAAAATGTTTACACATATATAAATATGTTATGTACATTTATACATATGTATAAAAATTTATTTCCTTGCAAAATGTATTTATGTGGAGCATACAATCTGTCATTTTAAATATTAATAATTTTTGCATCATAATATTGTGATAGAGAGAGAATATTGAATGAAATATTAAATAAATATTGATAAACATATCTATCTCGTTGCTTACTTTACTGTTACATATTCACATTTATCATAATGCTTTGGGCAGGATTATAAAATTACTTAAATATTTTCTTTCACTAAAACAAAGTGCATATAAACTTTAATAGAAAATCTGTGATTAGATTTTTCATTAAAAAAAAACATGTTTTAAATAGACTGATAGCAATATAAAAAAATAAGTACAAGTTGAAAAATTATCTTCTCTGTCTATTTATAGAATAGTTGTAAAAGTATGTTAGTGCAAGGTAAAAAAAGTTAAACCTAGTAAATTTGAATAATATATATAAAAATTAGAAGATGTGGTATGATTTCCAATGTGAGAACACTTCGCCAGAGACCATATTAACAACTATGTGTCACAGTATGGCCTTCAACAAGCTGTATCGTCAAGATCCCCCCTTTTTAGCTCACCTGGCCCAAAAGGGCCAAGTGAGCTTTTCTCATCACTTTTTTATACGCCTGTTTAAGGGACATATTATGGTATACCTCTGTCCATCCGTCTGTCTGTCCGTCCGTCGTCAACATGTCGGACATTAACTCAAAAACGCTTCTACCAATTTGCATAAAACTTTGGTGAATTGTTTATATCTATGGATGTGAGCTCCCTTTCGTTTTTTATAAATTTCAGATTTTACTTTTCTAAGTTATGGGGTTTTATTCATCAAAAAAAAGGGGGATTTTCTTGTTTTCGGACAATAACTCAAAAATGCTTTCATCAATTTGTGAGAAACTTTGGTGAATTGTTTATATATATTGACATGATCTCCCTTTCGATTTTTATAAAATTTAGATTTAACATTTCCGAGTTCTCAGGTTTTATTCATTAACAAGAGGCTCAAAAGAGCCTGAATCGCTCACCTGTATTTCAGAGGAGAAGATTTTTAAATGTTAGCAAACTTGATGAACAAATTGTGTAAAATTGTCTTTAAAGGGCAATAAATCCTTAAGGGGTCAATTGACAATTTTGGTCATATTAACTTTTTTGTAGATCTTACTTTGCTGAACATTATTGCTGCTTACAGTTTATGTATATCTATAATTATATTCAAAATAATAACAAAAAACTGCAAAATTTTGTTAAAACTACCAATTCGGTGGCAGCAACCCAACAATGGGTTGTTCGATTCGTCTGATAATTTCAGGGTCGATAGATCTTGAACAATTAAACAATTTTACCCCATGTCACATTTGCTCTAAAAGATTTAATTTTTGAGATATAAGCCAAAAACTGCATTTGACCCTTATGTTCTATTTTTAGCCATGGCGGCCATGTTTGTCGATGGATACAAACTTCGGATATAATTTATAAACAAGATACCCTAAGGAACATTTAGGTAAAGTTTGAAGGTAATTGGCCCAGTAGTTTCAGAGGAGAAGATTTTTAAATGTTAGCAAACTTGATGAACAAATTGTGTAAAATTGTCTTTAAAGGGCAATAACTCCTTAAGGGGTCAATTGACAATTATGGTCATATTAACTTTTTTGTAGATCTTACTTTGCTGAACATTATTGCTGCTTACAGTTTATATATATCTATAATAATATTCAAAATAATAACAAAAAACTGCAAAATTTTGTTAAAACTACCAATTTGGTGGCAGCAACCCAACAATGGGTTGTTCGATTCGTCTGAAAATTTCAGGGACAATAGATCTTGAACAATTAAACAATTTTACCCCATGTCACATTTGCTCTAAAAGATTTAGTTTTTGAGATATAAGCCAAAAACTGCATTTGACCCTTATGTTCTATTTTTAGCCATGGCGGCCATGTTTGTCGATGGATACAAACTTCGGATATAATTTATAAACAAGATACCCTAAGGAACATTTAGGTAAAGTCTGAAGGTAATTGGCCCAGTAGTTTCAGAGGAGAAGATTTTTAAATGTTAGCAAACTTGATGAACAAATTGTGTAAAATTGTCTTTAAAGGGCAATAACTCCTTAAGGTGTTAATTGACAATTATGGTCATATTAACTTTTTTGTAGACCTTACTTTGCTGAACATAATTGCTGCTTACAGTTTATATATATCTATAATAATATTCAAAATAATAACAAAAAACTGCAAAATTTTGTTAAAACTACCAATTTGGTGGCAGCAACCCAACAATGGGTTGTTCGATTCATCTGAAAATTTCAGAGCTGATAGATCTTGACCAATTGAACAATTTTTCCCATTTCAGATTTGCTCTAAAAGCTTTAGTTTTTGAGATCTAAGCCAAAAACTGCATTTGACCCCTATGTTCTATTTTTAGCCATGGTGGCCATGTTTGTCGATGGATCAAAACTTCGGATACAATTTATAAACTAGATACCCTAAGGAACATTTAGTTAAAGTTTGAAGGTAATTGGCCCAGTAGTTTCAGAGAAGAAGATTTTTTAAATAGTTTACGACGACAGACGACGACAGATGACGACGGACTACGACGACAGATGATGGACGACGATGGACGCCAAGTGATGGCATAAGCTCACATGGGGCCCTTCGGGCCCTGTGAGCTAAGAATGGGTGATTTTTTAGTTTTCGGACAATACCTTTAAAGTGCTTTGAGTAGTTTTCATTAAACTTTGGTGACTGGTTTATATCTATTAAGATAACCTCCCTTTAGTTTTTCACCAATTTCTGATATGACATTAAGAAGTTATTGAACTTTATTCTAAGAAAATGCGATAGGTGTATCATGCGCTCATGGCGCAGCTGTTTATTGGCTTATATCTCTGAACCTAAAGCATTAAGAGCAAATCTGACATGGGGTAAAAATGTTCATCAGGTCAAGATCTATCTGCCCTGATATTTTCAGATGCATCAGACGACCCATTGTTGGGTTGCTGTCCCTGAATTGGTAATTTTAAGGAAATTTTGCAGTTTTTATACGACCGCAAACAAATTTTGCGGTCATATATTGGTATGACGTTGGCTTGGTCGTCGTCGTCGCTGTCGTCCGAAGACACATTGGTTTTCGCACTCTAACTTTAGTTTAAGTGAATGGATCTCTATGAAATTTTACCATAAGGTTCAATACCACAAAAGGAAGGTTAGGATTGATTTTTGGGGTTATGGTACCAACAGTTAAGGAAAAAGGGGCCAAAAATAAGCATTTTTGTAACTTCCAGACATAACTTGTGTGTTAATGTATGGATCTCTCTGACATTGTACCACAAGGTTCCATATCACAAAGGGAATGCTGGGATTGATTTTGGGGGTAATTGCCTTAAAATTTTAGGAATTGGGGGCCAAAAAAGGGGCAAAAAACAAGCATTTTTCTAGTTTCATGACAATAACTTGTGTGTAAGTGTATGGATCTTTCTGAAATTGTACTACAAGGTTCCATATCACAAAGGAAAAGCTTGAATTGAGTTTGGGTGTAATTGCCCAAAACGTTTAGGAATAAGGGGCCAAAAATAAGCATTTTTCTAGTTTCCAGACAATAACTTGTGTTCAAGTGTATGGATCTCTCTGAAATTGTACTGAAAGGTACCATACCACACAGGGAAGGCTGGGATTGATTTTTGGGTAATTGCCTCAAAATTTTAAGAATTAGGGGCCAAAAAGGGGTAAAAAACAAGCATTTTTCTAGTTTCAAGACAATAACTTGTGTGTAAGTGTATGGATCTTTATGAAATTGTACTACAAGGTTCCATATCACAAAGGGAAAGCTGAGTTTGAGTTTGGGGGTAATTGCCCTAAACGTTTAGGAATTTGGGGCCAAAAAGGGGCCAAAAAACAAGCATTTTTATACGACCGCAAAAAAATTTTTGTGGTCGTATATTGGTATGACGTTGGCGTCGTAGTCGTCGTCCGAAGACACATTAGTTTTCGCACTCTAACTTTAGTTTAAGTGAATGGATCTCAATGAAATTTTACCATAAGGTTCAATACCACAAAAGGAAGGTGGGGATTGATTTTGGGGGTTATGGTACCAACAGTTAAGGAATTGGGGGCCAAAAAGGGGCCAAAAATAAGCATTTTTGTAACTTCCAGACATAACTTGTGTGTAAGTGTATGGATCTTTCTGACATTGTACCACAAGGTTCCATATCACAAAGGGAATGGAGGGATTGATTTTGGGGGTAATTGCCTCCAAATTTTAGGAATTAGGGGCCAAAAAGGGGCAAAAAACAAGGCGTTTTCTAGTTCCATGACCATAACTTGTGTGTTAGTGTATGGATCTCTCTGACATTGTACCACAAGGTTCCATATCACAAAGGGAATGCTGGGATTGATATTGGGGGTAATTGCCTCAAAATTTTAGGAATTAGGGGCCAAAAAAGGGGCAAAAAACAAGCATTTTTCTAGTTTCATGACAATAACTTGTGTGTAAGTGTATGGATCTTTATGAAATTGTACTACAAGGTTCCATATCACAAAGGGAAAGCTGGGTTTGAGTTTGGGGGTAATTGCCCTAAACGTTTAGGAATTTGGGGCCAAAAATGGGCCAAAAAACAAGCATTTTTCTAGTTTCCAGACAATAACTTGTGTTCAAGTGTATGGATCTCTCTGAAATTGTACTGCAAGGTACCATACCACAAAGGGAAGGCTGGGATTGAGTTTGGGGATGGTGAATCATAAGGGGGTTCAAAAAATTTGGGGAGGGATTTTTTTTCCCTTTTTTTTCTTTTGAATTTTCCATTTTAAATTGGTTATTTCTGATTTATATATAAAAGCAAATAATAATGATATGGTTTGAATAGGTAAATTAAAAATTTTCAAGTTCTTAGACCACTTTCATTCTGTATCAGAAACCTATGCTGTGTCAAATATTTAATTACAATCCAAATTCAGTGCTGTATCAAGCTTGAATGTTGTGTCCATATTTGCCCCAACTGTTCAGGGTTCGACCTCTGCGGTCGTATCAAGCTGCCCCCCAGCGAAGCATTTTATTCAAGTTTCCAGACAATAACTTGTGTTCAAGTGTATGGATCTCTCTGAAATTGTACCATACCACAAAGGGAAGGCTGGGATTGAGTTTGGGGGGTGATGAATC